AGTGGACTCAATTTGCACTATTTCTGGCAGTCTGCAACTCCCCTGAGAGTTGGCCATCTTGGCTGGGGAACTATAATTCCCCAAAAGCATCTTTTCCAAATAGGGCCAGCATGGCATAGTGGTTTAAGCGTTGGACTATGGCTCTGGAGACCAGGGTTTGAATCCTGGCTTGGCCATGTAAACCCACTGCCTGAACTTGGGCAAGACACACTCTCTCAGCCTCAGAAGATGGCAAGGGCAACCCCTTCCCCTCTGAAGAAACTTTTCAAGAAACCCCCATGATAGGTATACCTTTAGGGCCGCCATAAGTCAGAAACAACTTGAAGGCGCACAACACATACATCTTTTTCAAGCTGTGGAAAATGTGCAAGTCAGCTTGGAGGCTGAAACACTTCTATCCATTATGGATCCATTGAAGAAGGCACAGAGAGAGATGGAGAGAAGAGAGATAACAGATTAATTCTATTTTAATGTTCACTTTTTAATTGGATTCTTTTAAATTGATCCCAGTTTTGGAGGGGAAAGCAGGATGATGGTGGTGCTGAGAATAATACTCTTTTTATCACAGAAAATGTTCCCTGGGGAAACAGAGGGAAGGACTTTGGCTTCTTCCCAGTCCTTGAGAAAGCATGGCCTCCAAGGCTGGAAAGAAAGAAAGAAAGAAAGAAAGAAAGAAAGAAAGAAAGAAAGAAAGAAAGAAAGCTTTGCCTCTGCCTTCCTTCTCCTGTCTGGCCCAAGCTGACCAGATGTCCTCCCCGCCAAGGAGGACAGTCAAAAAGGGAGGCCATTACAAAAAGAAGCTAAAACCCACAGACTGACAGAAATAATGCAGCTTGAGGCCACTTTAAGTGCCCTGGCTCAGTGCTAGGGAATCATGGGAACTGTAGTTTATTGTGGCACCAGAGCTCTCTGACAGAGAAGGCTCAATGTCTCAGGAAAAAAACTACAATTCCCATGATTCCATAGCACTGAGTCAGGGCAGTTAAAGTGGCCTCAAGCTGCATTATTTCTAGCAGTCTGTAAAGGGCCTAAGATACATGTATGTAGATTCATGTTCAAAATGGAGGACACTGTGGAATGCCTCTTGGACAGAAGGATGAAATGGAGGACATGTCCTGGAAAAGGAGGGCGTCTGTCTGGTCACCCTGTGGGGTGCCTGCAAGTCGTTTCTGACCTATGGCGACCCTAAGGGGAATTTTATCTTGGGGTTTTCTTGGCAAGTTTCAGGTGTGTGTGTGTGTGTGTGTGTGTGTGT